AAAGATGTCCACAAAGATGTTAACAAAGATTTATTTTCGCAAAATTATCTTTTAATACCTAACTCATGCGGGCCTCTAAATCCGTCTTCTTGAAAGCATATAAAAGTAATCACAGTAACTACACCGATTAACATGAATATGAATATATCCCATATTACTGATGATAACCAGAATACTATAATATTTGCTCCAGAAACGATCTGTAGATGTTTAGACTTGGATGCTCTTTCCTCAATTACAAAAATTATATAAAATCCAGTTACAAACGCCATACAAATTGCTTGCTGATGAGCTAGAACGAAGCCCAAAGATTGTGGAAATAAAAGCAGGAATATCTAAAAAAAAAAAAAGAAAACGGAAAACTGTTACTGTTGTGAATACTCACGGTAATGATAAATAGTTGCGATAACGATAATGATAATAGTATCATTATCGTTATTGTCAATGTCCTTACCACATTTTCTAAAATCTCTTTAAAGGTTCCTAACTTAAAATGTGAAGTTTGGAATAATCACTTATTTAAATAAACTGCTTTGAATTCCTATGATGTTGCTAAAAACAAGGGTGACTCTCGTTCTATCGAAAAACGGATCATCTTGAAGTTAATAAAGAAACTTCCATGAAGAGGTTGCATTTTAAATATACATATATACACATGATTTAGTCAGACAATTGAAGTCTCCGTGATACGAAATCACACCTCTAGGAAACTGCTCACGCAATAAGGTTATCGTTTCACGGCTTGTATAGCACATGGTCCCATTCTGCTGAAAATAAACATCTTCTACATTCAGTTCTTCATTCGTCCAAAAAGTTTGTTATCATATTTCGGTACCGTAATTCATTGAGTGTTCCTGCTTCGTATTCGAAAGAATACCGATGTTCGAAAAGAAACATCGATAACAATCGCGTTGTTTATAAGCCATGGCTTCCAAATATGTCAGCTCCATCTGTCACAAATACTATATATATATATATATATATATAAACCAAGGTGTCAAATTACAAATCACGGTGTCAAATTTCAAAACAAAGGTGTCAAATTACAAAACACGGTGTCAAATTACAAAACAAGGTGTCAAATTTCAAAACAAAGGTGTCAAATTACAAAACACGGTGTCAAATTTCAAAACAAAGGTGTCAAATTACAAAACA